CTCAAAAACCTTCCAATCAAAGAATCGATTGTGTGCGGGTCATCGATTCGCTTTCATAAGCGATGGAACTAAAATTCTTAGGTTTTTTAAAACATAATCCGCGTTGTCTATAATTTACCGCCACAAAAACAAGTAAAATCATTTATTCTTGTGTCAAGTGACAAGCCTCCCAACAAACTATATTCATCATTTTTGAAGTCTTTATATCCCTTCTTACAAAATATTTTTTCAGGGGAAAAAAGAACCCGGAAATGAATTCATGAATGGCAAAAATCGTGTGGCATTTAATGCTGGTGATAAATGAAGTAAACATTCCTAAAATTTCGTGTTTTTCGTTTTTTAATCTTTATGTAAATTTGATTTTTGCTCAATACGTTGTCGTTTTGTAGATGTTTTGACTAGTGTAGTTGATGTAAATCATATTTTGAACTATTATACTGTATTCCTCTTCAATTTGTAGAAAGACCTTAATATCTTTTCTTGGGAACGTATATGTAATATTAACTAGGCACGGCAGCTATGAGTATTAATTGCCAGTGACTGCTGTTTGTGGAAGGTTCCCATCAGTCTCACTGGAGTCTCAACAGCGCTTAGAAACACACAAAATTTGGTGTAATTATATTTTGAAATGTGTTTTAATATTTCATCAAGCGCTAGTTTCCTAGTAACCCCAAATTTAACTTTTAAATCGCATGCAAATCCCCTTAAGGAAAAATAAGTTCAAAAATTTAAAAAAAAAAACGAATTTTCGTTTAAAAAAAAGCGAGATCAGCAGCGTATCAGCTGTCAGACGCGGTCGCCAAATGCATATTACTTATTACAAGGGGCTAGCAAGCTTCTATTTTAACCTTGAAACAAATTAGACTTTCAAATTGATAATTTACACGTACGAAGGTGGCAGAAATCCCCTACTATCGATCGGATTTTGGAGATAAAATTGATAACTTTGGTTGGATTGAAGATCAAGGCCACTCAATACTGTCGTTGGCCAACTCCATAGATTAAAATATCCCACGCTTTTATTGTTTAGCTCTAATTTAAATGAGGGAATGAAAAAAAAAAAAAAAAGATGCGCTTGCATTAATTTTTAAATTCTTAGTTAGACTAAATTAGTCCATTTTTGGGCGAAAATTCCATTGTATTGGATTCCCTTAGTGTTAACGATTTGAAAGCGGTTGAAAGGGGTGTCTGGTCCATTCAAGAAATATTCATACACTTAGAATATACGGCTAATGCCTATGGATTTGCATTGTGGGATTTCTGTACATAAACATCATGATATCTATCATGGGTATTTCTGTTCAAGTTTTGATAATGTTTACTGTTCCCATAACGAATGACAACATGCCCTTCTCTTTAGTTTTATTTCTTTCTCAACCAATGAGTAAAACTCCAAAAGGAACATTGATTTGTATGAGGCATAAAAAATATGGATTTTCTAAATCGAAAAAGCCGAAAATGATAAATGTTTTGCAATTTTCAAACGTATGGAACCGAAATCCCATCCATAGAATACTAATTTTTTTATTGTGTTTAGTAAGCTCTTTTGAGCGCGTACAAGGATTAAGACAGTGTATTTCACCTAAAGGAGGTTATTGCATTCAAATACATGAATTCAGTCCGGCTCTTATTCAATAAGGATATCTTGTGAAATAATTGAACATTCCAGGAAACCGGAGCTTCAGGTGCATGGGGAATGTGAATTCACACAAACAATTAATATTTAATACAACTGAACATTTCTAGTGAATAATTTTCGATTTCGACAGGATTTGAATGCTTGAAGAATAATGGAGACCGGATAAAGTCATTAAAAATCGGTGAAAATAGCGCTATAAACCTGACCAATTACCGTCATGAAAAATGCCATTAATTACCTTACAAGCTCTAACGCAAGGCAAAGTTCTTACGCGTTCTTGTTTTCTTAGTATCGAGAAACACATTTTGAACTTCAAGTACTTTTAACATAATATTTAGTCCTTGGAGAAGGCAACCCAGCGTTTAATAATACGACTCCTTAGTTAGTTGATGATATTGAAGTTCGATCCCATTCAGTACTATTGTTACTGACGAACTCCAGTTATCATGGCACGACCAGGAGGTAAAATGATGAATGCTGAACACCACACGATAGTGCTATTAGGACTTAGATTTCGCTTGAAAAGAGCGATCATTCGAGCGATCATTAAATATTAATACCCAGCTAAAAAAGAAAATGCAGGAACAAGATGGCGGAAAAAGCATCAAGTTAGGGGGAAAAAACTTAATAAAACCGAGAAAGAAAGAAAGAAA